TAGACAAAATCAAGTTGAAAAAAAAGATGAGAGAGCGCGAGAGGGCGAGTTTATTTTTAGATTGCTTGTTTGCTCACAAATTCGTGCACACCAAGAGAGGTGATGTGCAGTTAAACATAAACAACAAAACAACAACAAGAAGCTTACCCACAGAAGCTAATAGGGCAAGCGCACAAACAAAAATGACTTATTTTTAATGGGTTCAGGGAATAATAACGGAAATATTTGAAATATAAATATTAAAACGCCGGTGTTTTATTAAAATCAAAACAAAACGGAGAGCACAAGAACATGTCTGTTCGCTTCGATGCAGTCTATGAAATATACAGTACTAGCGGGTATAGCCCGGCCTTGCCCGTGGCACGTATAAAATAAATGTTCTCAAAAAGCTTTGAAAGTGTTTTTGAAACTGATCGGACGGTAAACAAATAACCTTCATACAAACGTTTTCCGCTAATTTACCACTATTGCGGGTGGAATTTCCCAAATCGTTTAAATACGTATTTATTAGATTTTCATGTAGAGCTTTGAAAATAGATTTGAAGGAAATCGGAAAAAAATTGGAACGTCACCAAAACAAATCTTTGCATTGCACTTTTTACTCAGGAAGCTTTGATCCTGCGAAAAATGTGAAACAGGTCTCAAATGATTTTTCTTATGGATACTTAGAAATGGATTTAAGCGCGAGACGTCACCCACCACATCTTTGACCCTCATTTTCACCAAGGAGGGATGGATTTTCCAAAAAGTGCGAAACACACTTCAAATGAATTTGAGGAAGGAGGAATACATTTTTGGAAAGGTGTGAAACACCCCTCAAATTAATTTAAGCAAAGAACTTTGAAATTGAGTTTGAGGCCGATCGGATGGTAAACAGAAAGTTTCATACAAACGTTTTTCGCGATTTTTCCATACTTGCGATTGGAATTTCCCGAAACCCCGTCTTAACGTGCACCTTCATCACATGCGGTAACCACATTGAAAATTTGAGCTTCCTAGCTTACGGTTTCGGCTGTGCGTTGATCACCAATCAGTCAGTCAGTCAGTCGGTCAAACAGTTGTGAACTGCTCTCGGCTCTCAATGGTCGTCGTTTGGCTGACACTTCCAATTATTTTTCTATGGTTAACCAAATGGACGAAAATAGATGACTTACTGACGCGGCAAAATATTGTTACTATGTATACCCTAAACCCATTAAAAGTATATAAGTATATAAACCCCATAAAGTATATATATTCTTGATCACCACCAATAGCCGAGTCGATCTAGCCATGTCCGTCTGTCAGTCTGTCCGTTTGTATGAACTCCAGGCTATAAGAGCTAGCGACATGAAATTTTACCTGTAGGTCCCCATAGTGCCTGCGCAGATCGAGTATGTTTCCGATAATCGATAACTTACTCCGTTTCCAATCAATCGATACAAATCGATGTTGACATCCTGTTTATTGAGCAAATTGGGTAAAAAATAAGAGCTTGAGTCACCAAACACGATGTGTTTCTCCTAGAATATTATATATATATCGAGTATCTTTAATTGTATACCTAACGCCAACTCCCCGCTGCCATTCCACAGCTATAAATGAAGTTAAGAACCCATTTTGTATTGCCTACCAATTAAAGCTACAATTTAAATGCAATTAACTTTTTAAGAAAACACAAATATTCTATGGTACAATGAGATATACTTTAGAAAATTTCAGTAACATCGGTTTTTGATGTACCCTGAACCCATTTAAAATGGGTAAAAGGGTGTATTTTATTTGGGCAAAATTCAAATGTATGTAACAGGCAGAAGGAAGCATAAAGTATATATATTCTTGATCAGCATCAATAACCGAGTCGATCAAGCCATGTACATCTGTCTGTCCGTCCGTCCGTATTAATAAACGCAAGGATCTCAGAACCTATAAGAGCTAGAGACATTTTCAAATTTTACCTGTAGGTCCTCTAAGTGCCTGCGCAGATCGAGTTTGTTTCCGATAATCGATTACTTACTCCGTTTCCAAGCAATCGAAAAAAATCGATATCGACACCTTTTTTTTTTTAGCAATTTTAGTAAATATTAAGAGCTAGAGTCACCTTGATATGTTGCTTCTAGAATATTATATGTTAATCAAGTATCTTTCATTATATGCCTATCGCCACCACCCCGCTAACACTGCAGAGCTATAAATCAAGTTAATAACCCATCTTATATTGCCCACCAATCTTAGTCACAATTTTGAGCTTTTGAATGAAAACCAAAGTTATATGTAACTGCGCAATTGGATGGGCAGCTAGCGAAAACCCCAAGAATTTATGTTTACATGTACACACACACATTCATCCGCGTCTGCTTCGCATTCTACCGCATTCTAACAACATTGTAATTGCGACTTTTTCTGTAACGCTATTTTATTTAGATTTTTTCTTAATAATACTTAAATATTTGTGTGGCTGTTGAGTAGAGGCATAGCGAGTGTAGCGGTCTGTCGCGAGTTCGAGCCCTACTTGGGAACTATTTTTTTTTAGTTTTGCTGGTTTGTCTGTTGAGTAGAGTCGTCAGCAAGTAATACGGTCAGTTGCGAGCTCGAAGCCTGCCTAGGGAACTTTTTTTTATATGTATCTTTATTACTTCAAACGAGCGCGTTGCGCGAACTGCATTTGGTGTTCGAATAAGAGGGTTCAGGGTATTCCCTAGTCGGGAGCTCCCGACTAGAACCTCTTACTTGTTTTTCGGTTTTTTGACTGCGCACATGTTTGCAAGGCAAATTTATAGAATTTGTGTTTACATCTACACACACATTCATGCGCGTCTGCTTCGAGTTCTATTAGAAACATTGCAATTGCGATTGGATTGTTTTCGGTGCTGCTGTTTAAATTCATTTTTGTCTCACTGAGACTTAATTATTGGATTTATTAAGTATTTGGTTTTATTTTTTTAACTTGTATGGCTGTTGAATGAAGACGACGGCAAGTAGTGCGGTAAGTTGCGAGTTCGAAGGGAACATTTTTTTAAAATTTATCTTTATTAATAATAAGGAGGTTCAGGGTATCCCCTAGTCGGGAGCTCCCGACTAGAACCTCTTATTTGTTTTATACTGCTGCAGAGGGTATTATAATATTCAGCTATCCCTCGATTTACACGGTAGATTGGTTCTTTGAAAATCCGTGCAAAACAAAACCGTGTAAAACGAGACACAGAGTTAATACAAAGTAATTGGATTTGTTCAATTAACCTGAAAACGGTGTAAATCGAACTAAAGAAGACAAAGAAAAGTCAAAGAAATGTTCATTATAATCGTGTAAAATGAGGTTTTTGCGTTCAATTCAATTTATTTTTGATAGTTAAAAACGTAAACATCAATTAAAAATATTCTTTTCAATTAAAAAAAAATTTTAACATAAGTAAAAAACTAAAAATATTCTGTCAAAACAATTAAAGAACTCAATCATAAAAACTTAAACTTAAAAAAGCAGAAATAAAAATCAGCCTTTATTCTTCTTCTGAAGTTTGTAAAGCTAGAAATTTCATTTTCTTTGGTAGTGCTGATGTAACATCACTTTCCGAGTCACTAACAGAAAATTCTCCAACGTTTTCCATAGGTTCAGCTTCACTAATTAAGATGTTCGCAACATTTTGCACTTGGCTTCTAAAAGGTTTGGATGGCAAGATATTAGTGATTAGCATTTACTTACTTTGGCGGGTATTCTTATAAATTTCTTTAAATTGACTGAGCGCATTTCTTATTGTTCTTTAAAATTTTAATGCATCAGGATTTCTGTTCAAAAAAAAAGTTTGCAGTTCTCTACCTAGTCGTAGCCCTTCTGCAATTACTTTTCCAGTAAATTTTTCAGCGTCATTATTGTCATCATAAGAACTGCTTTCTACATTATCTTCTGGAGTCATTTGTAAAATTAATAAACTGCCTTTTTCACGTGCTATTAGAATTCAATTCAAAAAATGGATTTGAAGTTTCTTCTTCTGCATGCACAATGTTGTTTTCAAAAACGCTAATGTGAATGGCGTGTTGTAAATGGAATAAATATTTACCATATGCTTTGCAAACTTATACAAATAAAACTATCAGAATAAGAGAAAAAAATTTTTTGTTGGGATTTGAAAACCGTGTTAAAGCGAAACCGTGTAAATCAAGTTCCGTGTAAGTCGAGGGATAGGTGTAGTCTCGAAATTTGTATATTGCTATATCTCGAATCTCATACAGTATATTGCATATATTCTTGATCAGATCAACAGCCGAGTCGATATAGCTATGTCCGTCTGTCCGTCTGTCTGTTTCTATGCGAACTAGTCTCTCAGTTTTAAGGCGATCGCCATGAATCTTTGCAGAAGTACATTCATCCTGTTGCACGCATTACATATGTCGGAACCGGCTAGATCAGACCACTATATTATACAGCTGCAAAAGGAACGATCGGTCGAAAGGGTAATTGAAGAATTTATGTTGGAACTCTTATTTACATTGGACCACTATATCATATAGCTGCCATAGGAACAATCGGTTGAAAATTAAGTTCTTTTATGAAAAACTTTTTGTTTTTCAAGATATCTTAACCATACTCGGCGTTAACTTTTTTCCCTCTGCTTCTTATCTGCGGCAAAGCATAATGAGTATTATGAAAAGGTTGGATCTACAAGGGTATTAAATCTTCTGCGTGCTGAAGATAGCCCTTCTTTCTGTTTTTTTTTTTTTTTTATCTCTTTGACGACTGTACGCTTAGTTGTGACACATGTCGGGAGACAATTATAATACCTTCTACAGCCTATACAACTAGCATCGCGACGGTTGCAAAACTTTTTTCTTTGGCGCGAGTGCTTGCATTTAGTCACAAAAAAACCTAACGAAATATGTTAACGTTGTTTTCTAGTTAACAATCCACTTAAGAACTTCCACCCACTTTTCAGTTCAAATAGTTTTCTAATTTTACAATACCCTTTTTGAATCTTGGGTACAAATGACCAAACTTCAGTTTCTAAAATGTTTATATTTTATTTTAGCCGACACACCACGAGCAGAATTGTTGTTTTCACCAATGGTTTCGTTAACAATTGGATTGACTTTAGCACTTTTCATTGCAACATTTGCTATTATACTCGCTCTCCGAATTCCATGCGCCGCAACTTCAAGAAGGCGACAGAAAGTGGCATCTATCGGCATTGAGTCTAGAGATGATTCTCCGGTTCCGAGCGACCAAAGCGTTAATAAAGATATCGATGAAACCGATGAAAGAAACCCAGACGTGATTCCAGAATTGAATGATTATGATGAACAAGTAAGTATGAGCATATATATTTTTTAAAATTTTGAATATATTAAACATGTTAAGAGAGGCAAACTACATTTTTCGTGATTGTTTGCCTGTCACGTCGTCTCTATACACATATTTAAATTAGGGAGTTCGAATGATTATAATGAAAATTTTCAAGGATATACTCAGAACTTCGCGGGGACGCCAAATTTTGTTTAATGGGCGGAAGATGGGTTTATCGACAAATCAGTTGTTTATTAATTGGAAATCATTTATATGAAATAATTCAAGACACTTCTTGGTGTTCGAAGTAAACGGAGATACTCGCGGAATAATATCAATAATCGAAATTCGAGTGCACGCCCAAAAGGCCAAACGTGGCTTTTGCAATCCCGCAAAAAGATTGCAACACATCAATTATTGTGACCCAATAACAAACAGAAAAAAAAACAGTAACGTCTAAAATTAAAACAAAACTACTTGCTGATGAAGCAATTTTTTTTTAATGTGCAAGTCGTCTTTGCTGTCGCACGCTGGTGCTAGTGTGAATAAAGACCCCGTTGACACCTTAGTGCATATAATAAATATCATGAAACCCAATTCACCCGCTGCAGCTGAAAGAAAGGCTATCTTCGACACGCCGAAGATCTAATACCCTTCCAGACCCAACCTTTTCATAATGCTCATAGTGCTTTGCCCGTATCTAAGAAGTACCGGGAAAATAGTAAATGCCGAGTTTAGTCAAGATATCTTGATAACCAAAAAAGGTTTTTAATCAAAAACCTGGTTTTCGACCGATCGCTCTTATGGCAACTATATGATATAGAGGTCCGATATTGATGGGATTTTATATATATAAGTAGCATAGTTAAACTAATAGATGGCGAGTTTGGTAAATATATCGTGAAAAACAAAAAATTTTGCCATACAACGACTTGTTTTTCGACCGATCGTTCCTATGGCAGCTATATGATCTAGTGGTCCGATCTTAATAGGATTTTGCCTATATACAAGAAGTATAGTAAAACTAATAAATACCAATTTTGGTCAAGATATCTTGAAAAACAAAATGTTTTTTCATACAAAAACTTAATATGATGTAGTGGTCCGATCCAGCTGGATTTCACATATGTGCTGCGTGCAACAGAAAGAGGGACTTCTGCAAAATTTCATTAAGATAGCTTTAAAACTGAGGGACTAGTTAGCATAGAAACAGACAGACGGACAGACGGACATGGCTCTATCGATTCGACTGTTGATGCTGACAAAGAATAAATATACTTTATGGGGTCGGAGATGTCTCCTTCTATGCGTTACACAAATCACGACAAAATCATAATACCCTCTGCAAGGGTATAAAAAACGAGAAGTGCAAGGTCATAGACTGCAGATTCCCACTTGCGGCGCGGCGAAAACAGAACAAGACTGACACTAGTCCAGTTCAAATACATACATCCAATAGATATGCTCTCTTGGCGCCACCCGAAAACGACGAAGACATGGAGACTGATGTATCTGCGGCCGAGCAGATAAGCTTAGCCCAAGAAGAGAACTTGCCTGCCTCAGCGACTCCTCAGGTTAAGGCTGGCGGCAGCCAGCCCAACGCCGTCACCCATGCCAGCACCAGCTTCTCCGTGCCCGAAGAAAGGGCCAACCACAATATCACCACTGGAGGCAAGAAGCCACCCCCATCGTCCTCTATGACATTAATGACATTAACGATGTGTGGCTCATACTATCTAAAGTAGTGGACCTGGATAACCTGACCATCAAGTCCAGCCTAGACTATGCGACTCTAAGCCAATGATGTGCCCACGTACAGGGCCATCGTAAAAAAATTGGAAGAGCAAAATATCCAAATCTATTCATACCAGCTGCAGGAGCACACTTATTAAAGGCCTTCACCCCTCAACACTCAACCGAGAGCTCATCGACGAGATGGAGGCTCTAGTACAAAAACACGTTATCGGAACAATTCTGATGTCAGAAACTAAAACCAACGGTCCTACTTTCCCCAGAATCTTTGGCTTCGAGGCGTTCCCTGTACACTGCACTCAAAATCGCTCAGCTAGTGGCGGCTGCGCTGTCCTTGTCCGGAGTAACTTAGTTCACTTCCCGCAATTGAGCCTTGCAAATCGTGTTTACCAATATTCGACTGTGAAAGTCTCCACTGATGCTGGTAGCCTGGATTTCGGAGCAGCCTATTGCAGGCCAAATAAGCAGACGTCGACTGATGACTTCAACGTCTTACTCAACTCGGCTGGAAGCAGATATCCAGTGGGAGGCGACTGGAATGCACATCACTGGCTGTGCACATCAACTAGCTAACAGCCTAGCGCATCGTCAAGCAAATGTACTGGCCACAGGTTCTCCCACAAGATACCCGTACGGCAGCAGAGGTACTCCGTCTTGCATAGACTTCGCTATCTACCAGAGAATCCCTGACTAGCTACTTTTAATCGCTGACAGGCGGCTGGATTGTGCTGGCAACGGACTGCCCGCAGATATAGCTAACCTGCTCAGGATCAAGAGGCGGTGGAGACACATGTTCCAGACGACTCAGTATCCGTGGGATAAGGCGGAATGGCGAAGAGCGGAGCGGCAACTCAAGGAAGCCCTTCGCAGACATAAAGACGCATCGTTTTCCAGAAGGTGGAAGAGCATGAACTATACCCATGACTCAGGATACTCGCTCTGGCGAGCAACTAAAACCCTAAAGCGCCAGCCCTGGAGAACCGTTCCCCTTCTTCGCCATAATGAAACATATTGCCTTCCAGACGAAGAGCAAGCTGATACCTTCGCCAGCCACCTCGAGGAACGGTTCACACCTTTCGAGTTGGCCTCCCCAGAAGAGCCCTGCCAATGCACGCGCTCCTTTTTAAACCGCGGACCTTCAACGCCATAATAAGGACGCAACACTTCCCTGCCCAGTGGAAGTAAGCGAGAATCCATATGATCCATAAGTCGGGCAAGACGAAATTTAACCCAGAGTCATATCGGCCGATCAGTCTCCTGCCTTCCTTATCGAAGGTTTGGGAAAGACTGATTGTCGCCCGACTTGCTAGGCTTTTGGATCAAATGGCCATTCTTCCTCTTCACCAATTTGGGTTCAGGGGTGGGCATGGCGCTGTTGAACAGGTTCACAGAGTGATTAACCATATTCTTAAGGCTTACGAAGACAAAGAATATTGCTATGGAGTCTTTGTTGACGTTAACCAGGACTTCGACCGAGTCTGGATAGATGGATTGCTCCAGAAGATCAAGATGAGTCTTCCCGCCCCCTTACTACTACTACTTTTATCTAATGAAGCGTAAGTTTGAAGTCAAAATCAGGACAGCAATCTCTCCGGTTCGTTATATGAAGGCGGGTGTCCCTTAAGGCAGCGTACTGGGTCCCTTCCTATACAATTTGTACACGGCAGACATCCCCACTCCGGATGACCTACATGAGTTCGCCACCCCAGGCAAACACTTGATGGCCACATTTGCTGATGACGTGGCAATATTTTACTCCGCCCACTGTGAGTACGAAGCCACTGATGGGGCCCAGGAATACATTCACTTGCTTGAGAGCTGGGCTCGCAGGTGGAACATCAAGTTCAATGCCTCGAAGTGCCAGGCGGTCAACTACACACTAAGGCGGGGCAAGACTCCAGCAGTCTGAATAGATGGCAGCCCCCCTCACCCTGAAATAGGCGCCAAGTATCTTGGAAGTGTACTGGATAAAAGGTTACCTTTCGTGCGCTCGTCGACGGCTTTCTCAAGCAGTGCCGCTTTAAGATGGCCAACGCCAACTATCTACTTAGCCCCAACAGCCCATTGCCACTTCACTGCAAACGGGCAGTTGAAAACGTCGTGGTGGCGCCAGCTTGGAGATACGGCATCCAGGTTTGGAAAATTGCATCTCGTACAAATAGAAGACGGATTCAGATACTCCAAAAGTTTTCCCTGCGCCGAATGACCGATGTTGACTGGTACGTCAGAAAAAGAGACGTCAAAATGGAGACTTTAGACAGCCAAGTCGAAGCATTCGCCAACCGATACAAGGAACGCTTGCAGCGACACTGTAACCAGGAAGCAAGGGACCTCGCTGGGTGGTGTGTAGTCAGGAGGCTCAAGAGAAGATCCTTTAAGAACGTCATCCGACCTAGACACAGGAGACGCCCCAGAGCCCCTCGACTACCTACGTGACGATGCAGCCTTACTCAAAGAAGATGCCTTTGAGGTTTTTCCACGATAAAGCCTGAAGACCCAATCAGGCTTGGCGAAATACCACCTAAGTTAACTGTATTGTAATAAAAATGTATGATGTTTTTGATTCAATACAATAAACATATATAAAAAAAATTAAATAATTGACCGTCGATTAGACCCTAGCTTCTTGAATCATTTGAATCAATTGAGTAAGGCTTTCACGTCTACCAGATATGTCATTGGCTTATCGAATGTTTGAAAAACGATTTTTGCCATTTGTAAGGCGGCTCTCGAAGTCGGTTGAATTTGCATATCTTTTCTTCAGCTTATTGCGGAGCATTCTGAGGCAATCAGTAGGCAATCTTGGCTTATATATGAAACAATGAATACGGCGACTCTCAAGCACTTTCTTCCTACATTTTCTATTGCTATCAAGTGTGCGGTGTCTTGACATAATAATGCCTTTATTCAATTTTATAATTCGATAAATGTGACATCATATGAACGGGATTTTGGACGTTTTTAAGATCTTCTGAGAGTTCATTGAATTGGCGTGAATGTAATCTCAACTGCGTAGTGTTGCGGGCACATCTTATCACTACGAGTTCGAGTAGGGACTTGAAATGGGTATTGGTTAGCCACGGTTCCATCCATTGAATCAAATGATGAGTCCAGCTCTAAAGTAGTGCAATCTTAAAATGGAATATAGGACTCTTAAATTTCTGCGACTCGATCGGCTTCAAAAATTGAAAGCTTTGTTAAGTGCGTTTCTATCTAAAGTAAAACAAATTTTGAGTTAGACCACAACACTATTATACCCTTGCAGAGCA